AGGTGTAAATAATCACACATTAATGCTTTTGTCGGTTCCAGGTGGTATGTTGTGGTGAACAAGCAGTGACCGAGTGATGCTGGGGGGAGGGGGTAGCTGCGGTGGGCCAGTTTCATGGTGGTGCAGCGAAGTGTGGAGGTGCTCCCCAAAAGTGGCCCCGGACATTGCATCATCAAGCGGAGAGATGGCCAACTGTGATCAGTGCAGCGTCAAGTTTTCGCTCCTGAAGAGACGGGTGAGGATTTCACTGCCGGTCTTTCTCTGTTCCCTTTTCTTTATCTGTCTTGCTTTCCTTTCTTTCTTTTTTGTTTTCCCTTTTTCATCCCTCCCCCCTATTGAAAATTTTCCCATATATTGCTTTGTTTACTTTTTCTCTCTCTCTCTCTCTCTCTCTCTTTCTTTTTCTTCTTTCTTTCTTTCTTTTTGTGGCTTCCCATTTTGATTCTTGTAATTGTTAATAGTAACAGTTATTTGTATTGCTTAGTTTTGTAGAATATAATCAACTAGTCTTATGACTAATACCGGCGACTAATTATTCTTAATTTTCAGAGAACTTGCGCAAATTGCCACCTTGTCTTTTGTAGCTCTTGCATAAAGACAGGCATTGGAGGGACGAGAAAATGTAACAAATGCATAGTGTTATCGCAATGGCCTCTTGACATATCTGAGGTTGGAGCCTTGCGTGTCAAGGACCTGAGACAGTACCTCCAGTCGCAGCATATCAACAGTACAACATGTACAGGTGTGTATCTGTGTCTCCGTCTGCTTTCTGAAGACAATGGAATAAGAGATCCTGTTTTATTTTACTTATTTGTTCTTTCTTTCTTCTTTTATGGGAAAATTTTTGGAAATATGGGATTTTTTTGTGTATGACAGCTGTCTTATTTTCCAGTTTAGTTTTATCCTAGTTGATTATATTATTTTTCAATTGCTTTTGACAGAGAAGCGAGAGTTGATTGAGTTGGTGACACGCCACATTTGCAGTCAGCGGCGGATGTCAGACAACGCAAGACAAAACACAGGTGCTGGGAGTGGGAGCATCTTCTCGAGCACAGCACGACCACCAGTGTTTAAGCCTCCCTCTACCAACATTACAAGGGATGATGGCATTAGGGTGCGGCCAAGTAGCACGCTTAACAGCGACAGTTCAGGCAGCATACGAGTTCGGCCAGTAGACAGCATAAGAGTGAGGCCAAGTCGCTCCCTCTCTCCCGATTCTAGTGAATATGATCCGGAGATGGATTTGGGCATCAGGGTCTTTGCGTCGGACAGCCAGGCAGGCCAGCAGGAGCGTGTGAGCAGCACATCACCCATCAGCATGGAGGGTTGTTCAGAGAGCACGGAGGACAAGTGCTCACAGTGTCCCAGCGAAGACTGTACAGCCTCCTCTTGTAGCTTAGACTCCTGTCCCAACAGAGCATCTAGTCAACCCATGCCATGCACCTTGCATAATGACTCCTCAGGGCAAGACAGCATTGAGGACGTAAGTGCCACAAATGACCTGCAGTTACCAGACTCTACCAGCATGCTGGAGGAGATCCCAGGAACAGGTGAAATTGCTCAAGATAACACTACTACTACAGTTCAGGAGGCAGAGGTTTTGGAGCAAGGAGTCAACACCTCAGAGACACCAGGGCTTGAGACCCCATTTGAGGCTTCTGCTCCTCAGCTAGAGGATGACGCACCCATTACCACTACGATGTCCTCTTCATCAGCCTCCTCATCTACTCCTTCCACAGCTTCATCCCCGGAACCTTCAAAACCTGTAAGCGTGCGTATTTTTGCTTTTGAGTAGTATTGTACATTGTATGAGTCTGAATTTGTTCTGTTCCCTGTACATCAACCTTGGTAATGAGCCATTGAGGCTTAATGCTTCATAAGCCTAAAAGACATTTCTATGGTAGAGGAACTCCATATGGTTGAATCCCCTGAAATGCTCCGTCACTCAGTGAGCCTCATCTCGGGGTAATAAAGAAGCCAGTAAAAATCATGAAAAGGACCGATGGCAATGACCTCCCACTAGCACAAACACAGTAAAGAATAGCAGATTATTATTGAGCAGACAGCCTAGGTAACACAGAGCTTAGTGCAAAGTTAGCTGAGGTCAAGTAGAAAATATGTTGCAATTTCAAGAATAAGCTCAGTTGATTTTTTGTTGTTATTGTTGTTGTTATGGAAATATCAGTCAAGATTGTACTCTTAGTAATACTTTTCCAGAATAAGATAGAAGTCTGTAGTTGCTGTAGTCATTTGAAAGTATTTAAGTCCAACATATTTCATGAAATAGCTGAAGAATCATAGAACACGAGTACTTTTTTCGCTTGGCCTAATCTGGTAGCATCTAAGAAGCATCATAGCAGCATTGCTACCATTGCTATATATAACACTGGTCGTGGGAGCAACAGGTCTTTCTAATGTTACCCTTAAAGGATGCATTATCTTACATTCTGATGCAGATTTAGCATTAAATAATTCACTGTCTGCTCCAATTAAATTCAGA